CTCCCCAAAACCCCAAAACCCCAAAACCCCTTTTTATTCTACAATAAATATAATAAAATGAATATTCCATTAAAAGTTCTAAAGGGAAAATATACTAAAGCTCATAAAGGCAGCTGGGATGCGGAAGCAAATCACAAATTTCTAAAGGAAAAGAAGCGTAAAGGAGATCTTCTCAACATTAGTATCAATAAGGTCCATAAGTTATCCCCAAATGCTCCCATAACTTTCCAAAGAACAACAACTAAAGGTAAGCAAAGGCTAAAGTTGTTCAAAAAATGATAAAACCAAATCTGTAATGCCTAATGGACATTCACTAGTGAGAAGCTTTGGTTTCTACTAAAAATTCTCAAACGATCAAATTTCACCTTTAATTTCTAACAATTTTAAATCCCAAATAGACGCTGAAACGTTTGATATTAAGAAGAAAATGTTTTCTAACACTAGAGGTTCAGCACAAGCCGATAACAAAGATAGAGTACTTGTAAAGATAAACTTTGCTGATCTTCTCCCTAATGATCATAACTCAACCCACTTTATGATCAAAAATGATCCTGTCAAAAGCAAAAGTATGAAATTCTATAATACCATATAGTGTTTGTCAAGAACAAGTTTAAGCCAAGAGAGCATAACAAATTTATTCCATCTTTAACTAAATAAAATTGATTTTGAACCAGCAAAACAGCCAACTAAAGAGCCCCAAGGTTGCACTCTCAACAACTTTTTCGATTGCCAATTAATCACTACAAATGATTTTACCAGAGGCTTACCCCTTACAGGAAGAAAGCAGAGATTAAAACTTGCTCCTAAAGGAAAGCGAAGAAGCCTAAGATCCCACCTTTCTAGTCCTCCAAGAGTTGTCACCAACAACTCGTCTCGAAAAAGGTATAATTTTATTAAAAATCCTAGCTTGGACAATTGCAAAAATGTTAAATGAATGATTCACAATACCACTAAAAGATCAACTCCAAATAGACCTTCACTATGGTCTAGAAATAGCCTATCTGAGCTAGCTTCTCCCAGAAACAGCATAAATATCATAACATCCAATTTCACAACCCACAAAATAACCAAAAATAGAAAGAAAATTAACAAAATACACTCCCGAATGAACTCATGCTCGGCTAATAAAACAGATTCCCAGCATGATCTGTCTCCAAAATACACCAAAGAAGGAGACCCCAAATTCGTCCCAAAAACAGTTGCCAAAAACTCTTCCTCATCAGTCGAGCAAATGCTGAATTCTCAGATGCTGCAAACCAAACGATTCACAATGCTCAGAGACAAATTCAAGCCAAAAGAGAGCAAATTTATCTCACTTGTCAACAACCTCAAACAGGGTATTGAGAAAGGTGAAATAAACGAAGATGAAGATGATAAATAGATTAACCCAGAATGGTCCCCAAAAATTAGTCAGTAAAGCCAAAGCTGACCTGAATGTCTTAGAAAGTACTTATCCAAACTTTGATCTTTAGAGAACAACAACTTGCTTAAATAAACTCAAAAGTGAAGTCAAAGTTTCATTGAAAAGATCAGTCATCTCAGCTATAGAGAATTTTAAAGACTACAAATTAAGCTCTGTAGATGAGTACAAGTAAAGCAGTTCCTCAGAATCCAATGTCTCATCCAGACTCCAAAGAATTCTTTGGGCATATAAAATGAAATAATTTTGATGATGTCCGATTGATGCTCCAACTTGTACCAAACCTTGTTTATGAGTTTGATGCTAGGTTCCAAACTGGCTTGCACTGGGCTGCTAAAAGAGGTTATTCAAAGATCGTGAGACTTCTGATTAAATATGGAGCAAATATAAACCTAAAGGATGTCTCGGGAAGGACAGCTCTCTACATCGCCTGCAAATACAATCACCATGATATTGTCAGAACTCTTTTGGCAAACAAGGCGAATGCTTTTATAAAGTGATCTCGAAAAATCACTCCTCAAGACGCTACTTCTGATCATGCTATTCATCAAATGTTAGAAAAGGGGAAAATGATTCATGTAATCATGAGATTCATTCCCAAAACCAAGCGTAAGACTGTCCTGAGTGAGCTTGGCCTCAACTATTTCCTAAAAGACATACAGAAGGAAATAGAATCTCAAGGTGTTTAAATTTTAATAATTGTTCAAGAATTTTTATCCTATTCGGGGTTTTGGGGTTTTGGGGTTTTGGGGTTTTGGGG